AGAGTTCCCATCCTCTGCCTTTTGCTGGCGATTTGGTGTGGCCGGTGACTCTGGATGCACCAGACCCTCCCACGTGCTGCAGACCCTGCGGCCGAGGGAGCGACAGCTGCCCACTGCAGCCGGCCGCCACACGCTGAAACTGGGGTTGGCTTGGACCGATAGCAGAAGTTACCGCTGAAAAACCCCGTATCTGTGCTGAGGTTAGTTGCTTTTTCTCCCAGTGTACATATAATAGAAGGGCTTTCGGTGCCTGGCTGCAGTTAGCATGCTAGCACATGGGGTCTGTGCAGTCAGGAGCTGGGCTTCCCAGTACGAGCCTGTGCAGGGCCACAGCATCACGCTGCATCACGCAGCAGCCCGGGAAATCCATCTCCATGCTTTCTCTACATCATTGTGGTGTCTCCTTGGCATTTGTCTTGCTCGCTTCTGTTTCTGCCATTCCATCCGGTTCTCCTTTTCTCGTTTGGTCTTTTTCATGGGGTTGTCAGAGCACTAGGGGATGATAATGCGGCTGACTCGGGGGGATCTGTGCTGCTCTGCAGCTTCTCCAAGCAACCCATTGCTGCCCAGCTCCTGCCCTCCCTGCTCACACACCTGAGGAGCAGGACCATGTCCTCGTGCCTGCTGTCCGCCATGGACAGGATGCAGTGGTCCCACACTGGCCACCTTCCCTGAGTCTCCGCTGGTTCCCTCCTCATCGTGGAGGTTGGTGTTGCTGTCGGGTTTCGGTGCCCCGGGAAGGGCAGGGTGCTGCAGGAGTGTCGTGCCGGTGCAGAGCAGTGAGAGGAGTATTTCCAGTGTCGAACAGGATGCTTTTCCTTTTCACCTGTTCTGCAATATCCATTTGTTTGCTTAGCAGTTTTGGACCCTTCAGAAAGAAACTATTCCACCATCCCCATAATCACAAATACTGCCTTTTTTGGTTTTGTTTCCATGCATTCATGATAGGAACAGGTTTCCCTGTAGACGACCTGCAGTGTGTGTTCCTCTCCCACCTGATTTCACTTTTCTTCTTGACCCTTTTTGTTGCTCTTCATGCATACCAGCTTGTGTGCTCTTCAGGCTTACCAAGTGCAAGTGTTTGGGCTGTCTTCTCATGGGGCTGATGAATACATTGGATAATGAGACTTAATATTCTTGCTATCTTGGTAGTCAGTAGGAATTTCAATTTTTTTGAGGACTTAAAGTTGTAATAGTGTCAGTCCTGTGCGGCTTCTGTAGATTAGGCATATATTTGGTTGTGGCGCTTCCTTCATTGATTGAAGGAAAAGTGTGCTGGTAGGTTTAATGAAAAATAGCAAGAAATCAAAGCTGTCATCTTAGGGAGGTGTTGAGAATAAATGTGATGGAGCAGATTTGTGGTGAATTAGGGTTAACTCTTTCCTGAATGTCCAGAAGTGTGTGAGTTTTTAAAATTTGACTGTAATACTGCAGTTGTGCTGGAGGATCTTGGTTGGTATTTTTTTGGAGCACAGGTGTTAAACCACGCTTGGACCCCAGCATGGGTCAGGGAGGGCCGTTTGCAGCGGTAGGTGGTTCAGCACATTGTATAAATGAAAAGAATTATGCTTAGGCAGAGTTTGCCTGCATTCTTATTTTTGGCAGTGCAAAGCTCTCGTGCCATTTACAGCAGACGGGCTATTTGCTTCCCCCCAGCGCCCCCCCAGCATTCATTAGCAAGATAGAGCAGAAGAGGCCAGGGATGTGGAGATAAGGGAGAGCCAGTGAACGTACTGGTCCCGGCAGCTGCGCTGGAGGATGCGAGGCTCGAGGCAAGCCGCTCGTTCAGCGGGCAGGGGAGCAGTACAGAATGTCCTGCCTGCCACGGGCACGGCGAGCGCTCCCGATGCGCTGCAGTCAGGGCACTGTCATTGCCCAGCAGCTCTGTTTGGGGGACGTAGCAAAGGAAATTCTCCCCACAGGGATTTCAGCTGTGTTTCAGCAGGCTCCACACCTGTCCTCAACCCTCAACGCCTTTGCTATTCACAGCCCCCGCTTCATATCTCTGCAAGATGCTTTGAAACCTGCAGCGTTGTCCAGAAGCGTTGCCTGTGCGCACTGACATCCGACGTCTGTCCTGCCTTTCGTCTCTTGGTGCTGACAGTCTCTGTCCTTCTGGGAGGAGGCGACAAGGTCAGCCCCGCTCTGGTCCCAGCCGAGCT